TAGCTTCTCACAAACATTCATTGGTTGCATTTCTAATAATTCTTCTAAAATCGTTAAAGGCAAAGTATACTCACACATTTCTTTTTTAAACAAACAGTATATATGCATGTTAATCCGAAATATTATATAAAATAAATGTGCCAAGCCTACAAGTAAAAATACAAAATGAGAAATTTCTCACCTGCCTCAGCTACCGCTAATATGAACTCTAAAAGTTTAAACGAGTTTGGAATTAGTCGATCATCTGGACAAAGCTTGATAAAAGTTCAAGGATAAATAAGAAAACCATTTTAAAATAAATAATTCATAATTATCAACGTTAAGGATCTTATTTACCGAGTATCTCATTGATATTTTTTTGAAAATGTGTTCAAGGATTGTTTTTTTTTGATCAATATTTTCTTTCAACCCGTCTTCTTCATAAATTAAAGGTTTCAAATATGTTTGTATATTATCTTGATAATGTTCTTCATTTTCTTTCAAACAGTTTTCAACAACTTCTTCTATTTTATTAGTTAAAGTTTCAAACGTTTCCATCTTGAATGTTTTAAGAAATATTGAAAAATTGGAGGTGACCTTATAAATTTGGTTACCAGTTATGGTCCATTTACCCCAATTTTTAAGACTTATTTTTTAACAATTTTCTTTTTTATTATGTACGTTTTATTCAGGAATCTTTATTTGTTGGAATTGTTAATAAAAAAGAAGAGACAAACCCAATTCCATTCAAATATTATTTTTGGTTGAATTTGTTAAAATTATATTATGTAAGCGTTCATTCTATTAAATTGATTATTAATTAATCAATTAAAATTATTTCCACTTTCACCCACATTCTCTCTATTTATCCTATAGTATCCGTAATATTTTTTATCAATTGAATTAGGATGTTTTCAATTTTAATCAGCACCATCATTAATATGTTAACTCAATGTGAAAAAATAATGATCAAAAATTCAACAATTAATCTAAAACCATTAACAAGAACTTTAAGATCAATTTTTACATCTTCTACAATATTACTATCTAGTTTACCAGCTTTTGCACATTTCATCAGTAATAATCTGTCACTTATAATATTATCAATAATGAGTCCACCTACATTCACTGTCCTTGCCAATCTTAAAATTCTCACGGCTGGTTTACTCCCGCACATTTTTCTTAATAAGAAATTGAACCGGATTCTATGGATTTCAATATGTTTATTGTTTCTTAGTATAACAGTAGCTCAAATACAATTTCAAATGACGGTGTATTTGAATTCATAGTTTCACAATTAGGACTTCTTCTAATATCATATTTTCTTCGATATTAGCTGGTACATCTGTTTATACTGAATTTATAATGAAAGATAAATTTGGTCAAGGATCAATGCATTTACAAATATTAAACTTTATTTATCTGGGATGTTATTTAATGGAAGTGTTTATTACTTTTATTCTTCTTATAATGATGAATCATCCTATGACTTGATAATAATAATGAAGATGATGGTAGCAGTGAAGAGCAAAACTTTCCTTTCATCATTATATTTAATCCATTTTTTAATTATAGGAGCCTGCTCAATAGAATTAGTAGCCTCTTCTATAATCAAAGTTTCTGGTAATATAACAAAAGTTTATGCTAGTAGTATGGCAATGTTTTTTTCTTCCTTCGCAAGTTATTTTGTTATAAAAGATTATAGGCCAACAATATGGTTTTTCTCGGGTACTATAATATGTTGTATAGCTGTACAGATGTATACAAATGGTGTAAGCAATGGTAGCAAGGGTGGTAATGGAAATAGTGGCAAGGGCGACGAGAATAGTAATAATCATAATCATAATCGCAACAGTAGTTGCATTGTTGTTAATAATGTTAAGGCTAATTATAGGAATTATAATCTTTTCTGATATAAATGATAATACTATGCGTGTATTAATATTATATTGGTAAGAATATTAGTCTAAATAATGGAAATGATGGCGTGTTTGCCGAGTTTTCAACGTAAGCGACATTACTTTGAATATCAGAGAATCAAGCATACTACAATTTTAGTCTGTTGTTTTTCTTGATAGTATTGATTTTCCTTCACCGGCTATTTCTCCATATATCATTTCAAATTGGAATTTTTTGTTATTAACGATAGTACCAATCATGTCTGATTGTTTGAAGACATACATTGATAAATCATCTTCGCTTTCTTCTTCATCAGAATTCTGATTGGCTAATTTGAATTTTACGCGCGTGAATTTAAATTTCAACGAACGTGTTCAACATAATTTATAGAAAAGGTAATTATAACTTTACCATCGATTCAGACCTTGAACAATCTACCAATACATCACCGTTTTAGAAAATTCGTTCAACAATTCTTTTTCTCGTTTTTATAATAAAATTATTTTAAAAACCACTAACCAAATCATAACATCCGACCCCTACAATTCTATTCTTCTCGTTATTGCTTTGGTGTGTGAACTAATAATGATGGTGCGCTCTTGTGTCCCTGATGCTGCTAATGCCACAATTGGTTAAAGTTTGAATTTTGGGAAATAAAAAAAAGGAAATCATACATTATATCCTAGAATGTGTGTTGATGGATATATGCTGTATTAAGATTTTTCTTTAATTAAAGAGAATCATTTCATCAGGATACGTCATGGTTATCAATCATAACCCGAATCCATCATCTAACCTATTAATTGCAATTCGCATCTTCTTTTTTTATTGTTAATATTTTTAACAATAAATAAATATTCAAATTATAAATCGTCAATCCTAGCTGTTGGAAACGCTTTTGTGCTTGACCCCTTGCATTTAGATCAAAAAGCGCAGTCATTAAGTCCAACCAGACTAATTTGTGAAATTAGACGATAAAACTTTTGTAAAATTTGGTTGCAGTGACAGAAATCAGTTACTAGATTATAATTGTCTTAATACATAATTCACCATGACAAATAATTTAAAGAGATTATGTGTCGGCTTATATGGGTAGTGAGTGAGTGAGATCCAACATTTTGCATTTTTGAAGATTCTGACTTATTTGTAAGAGGATAGTTGTTTTACAATTAATAATTTCAAAATTCTCTTACATAGAACATTGAACTTGTCATCAAGGCTGATTGAACTATTGCTATTTGTGGCAAAGGTTGTTCCAAGCACCGGCCTTTGGCTTCGAATGACACATCAAAGCAACCGACCATGCAAAAGAATGCGGTACATTAACCTTATCCTAACGCAGATTATTGGACCAAACATTCCGGAAAAGTATTTATTTGCAACTAGAAGGTATAAAATTAAGGAAATCAGCTCTAGGATTGATCTTCATGATCTTATTCGAAACTGTAAACCTTTTCTTTTATATTTTTTTTTGCATTGCTTTATCTGAAGCAGAAAGGCGTCTAACTTTACAATATGTTCATCGTAAATCTGTCATCCAATTTGTTAAAAATTTCATTCAAAATGTCACCATCAGACTATCATGAGTGCTACGATCTGAAGCTGGATGAAATTATTGAACTTCTTAAACTGAACATCACCAGTGTAGAAAATGAGTGTTTCAACAAAACTTAATTCGATGAATCGATTTGTGATAGATAACCTAGAATCGTTATTAAAATCTGATGGTATTACAATAATTGACAACCCATGTTTATATATATATTGAAAAAGATGATTAAAATTAAAGGAAATATATTTTGGGTTGTGTTATTAAATGGGAAGTAGGGCAATTTGAAATTTGAAAAAAGTAAAGAAGTTAAGCCATGTCAAATTTTACCAAAAGTTAAAAACAATAACCGAACTAGAAGAAGATGATCTCAAAGAGTTAAAAAAAATACTTGATGATGTTTATATAATTCAATCTATAGATAGGTGTAAATCGGAATAGTATTAGAAGTCAATCTGAGCAACTAAGCGAAGTCCAAAACAAAAGAAGAACAAATTTGGCATGAATTTATATTTACGCCATTTATTTATAAAAAAGAAACACTCGTTTAAGTCTGATCATATATACTGGTACTTCAATATATAACGTTTTTGCGTCATTTACAAAGATGAGATATGTTATCAATTAATTTTACAAAGGAGCCTGATGTTCCTCGTGACTATTATGAACATATTGATAATTTTCTCATATTTGTTATGTCCCCAACAACAGAATAATTTCGGTTCAGATATTTGGAGCATCAGATTTGTTATATTGTCACTTATTTGACGTTCAGGTGATAGATAACAAGCCACCTTCCATCTTCTTTACTTGTCTATTGTGAAGATCGTAATGAGTTGAGAGTTTAATTAACTGATACGATGAGATTACGGAAAGTCGAGGTGGAAGAAGCCATTCTTTTGCAAATGGTGATGATAAAAAACTTGTTGCGCTATTATTTCGTAATGAAAATGATAGAATGGCAAAGGAGTTCTTAAAGAAGACAGAGAAAGACTTTCGAAGGAATCGAAGTCGAGATCATTAGCACTGAGGAAGTCGTTGAAATTATCAGAATCGATAGCAATGTAAAAAGTAATCGTTGTTGCATGACTCTATAATGAACTAAGTTTTTTCATCTGTAACCTACAAAGAGAGTCAAATAAAGTCTTGCTTTTGCTATAATAATAAAGTTATAAAATATTTCTGTGATTGTTTATTTTTATTTATTTGAAATTAGTTGCAGTGGTAGATATTCATTATATACAGCGATCATCAAATTTTATAAAGAAAATTAATAAAATAATTTCTTTTCTTCTATATATTCAATTATGAAATCCTATTGTTTGATACATAGTAAACCAAGGTATTACTAATAACAATAATAATAATAACAGTAATAGTAACAACAATAATAATATAATAAATTTAAATTTAAAATTTTCAATTGAAAATATATATAACAAAAAAATCAGATATATGTAATATGTAATATAATATAAATGAATAATATTATTTAATTAAAAATAATTACTTTGAAATAACTTTTATTAATTCAGTAATTGACAAAATAAATAATTTGTTAACCAATTATACATTAAATATTAACCGATTCTAAACTCTAATTTCAAAAAAAAAATATATATATAAATAAATAAAAGATAATAAATCATCATAGTCATCATCATCATATATTCAAAATAAAAAATACCTCATCAATTTGCATATATTCACTCATTTCTGTATCCAACTCTTCTTGAGTTTTCTTTGGTCTATTATCAGGTCTACGACCTCCTCCTCTATGACTTCCTCCCCCTCTTCCTCCCCCTCTTCCTCCTCCTCTACCTCCAGAACCTCCACGTGTACCTCCTCCGCGTGTCGAAGAGGATATACGGTTTCTATTAATTCGATTTATTATTATTATTATTATTATTATTATTATTATTATTATTATTATTATTATTATTATTATTATTATTATTATAAACATTATCATTAAATAATATTTAATTTATTATTTAATCAAAACAAATAGTAATAATACCATAATTATTTCCAACTTACTCATTGACACCACCACCAATACGCTTATTAATTGGTGCGGAATTGGGAGCTACAACAATTTCGATTTTTATTTCACGTCCTATTAAAATTTCAATATAAATAAAATATTTGATTAATTAATTGATGTTTTATCAAAAATTTTTCCAAAAAAAAAAAAAAATTAAGATTGCTCTTTTTTTTAGGTTATATAATATAATTTAATTCACCAACCATCTAAAGTAACATTTCTCAGTTTTTCCACTGATCTGACAGCATCGGTTCTTTTTTGAAAAACAACAGATGCTGTTCCCTTTGAACGACCACTTTGATCAAAATTTAGGTTGATTTGCCGTACAGGTCCGATCATCGTTGTAAAAAGTTCCTGATGTTGCAACGTATGTATATATATATATATTGTAATAAGGGTGTTTCAAATGATTTTTTTGATTGATTTTTAATAAGTGTATTTATATTTGATAATTAGAAAATATAATATATAGATCTAGATATAATAATAACAATCTTTGTTGTATTTTTGAGAAGAGAATTGTACTAGCAAGTAGAAAAGGTTTCTGACTCTCCAGTTCCAAAGCTGTATTTTTGTAAAGAACAGCCATATAAATAATATTCTATTCGTAAATGAGAAGGCTTTTCGCTAAATGTTTATTTGATTTAAATAAACTATAAACCGAAGCTTTGGCCCAACGAATATCTTTTTATTTATATATATATTATATGCGGTTGCTGTTTTTTTTTTTGCATAACTGTAAACATATTCATTCATTCATATATACATATATGTATATATGGCTTGTAACTTTTTTAGACAGTTTAATAAAATATTTACCCAAAGATCTGCCTCAGTAACTTTAAATGCTAAGTTTGAAACTAAAATTTTTCCTTCTGTTATCGAGTTGATGTTGGAGGTTGCCGCAGATGAGCTATATGGTCGTTGTCTTGTTTGTGTTCTTGAATTTCTTATTGGTCCACTTGAACGTTTCATAGCACCACCTCCTCCTCCACCACGATTTAACCCACCAGATCTATTACCACCTCTTGAAAATGGTCTCTTTTTTGAAATAATTTCGTCGAGTGACATATCAAGACCAGTGGACATAATAATGATGTAATGGAAGATAATCTATATCTTCTTTATTAGGAAAAAACTGGAGTTTTGTTTATAAAAAAATATTTATGATTTTTTAATTAGAAGTATTATAATATTGCAATGTAATAAAATAATGAGAAGTCTGTGAATGGATGACAAAATTTTTTTATTTATTTGAATTTGGGATTTGGTTGTCACACAAACTTCCATTCCAATGTGATACGAGGTTTTTTGTAACACGATTATCTGAGAAAAAAATTCAAATTCGATTGGATAAATTTCCAAATGTAACGCAGCATAGTGAACAGGAGAGACCGTTCTGGGAACACAAAAATTAACAGGAGGGAATACAAAATTTTAACCCATGCAATTTGTTGATTGACCAATTAAAATCGC